TCTCGCTGCCCCTTCCCTGCTCATGCTCGCTCTCTCCCTCTCCCCAAGATAAGTGAACATTAAAAAAAATTTTTTTAATAAATAAATAAGAGGGCACTGGGTATCTCAGCCAGTTGAGCAACCAACTCTTGATTTCTGTGCAGGTCACAAACCCACAGCTCAGAGCCTGGAGCCCTGCTTGGGATTCTCTCTCTCTCCCCCTCTGCCCCTCTCCCACACTCATGCGCTCTTCATATATAAATAAAAATAAAATAGAACTAAAATGATTAAAAAAGAAAAAAGAAAGTAGACCAATACCAAAAAAGAAAGAGTTACATTAAAATTTAAAAAAAATAAAGATGAGAAGAAATCTCATCATTACTAGAACATTGGGTATGAAGAGTACTTATAGAAACGGTTTCAGTAACACTGAAACGTCAGACCAAAACTTTTGGCTTAGGCAAATGGAAAAGCATCGAAGGGCTTCAAGGTGGGAGGATGAGAACCTGATCTATAATGTAGACAGGACGCTGGCTTCTAAGCACAAGATGAAGAAGATGTAGTTCCACACTTGATTTGGCAAGCAGTCATGGCGATCTCATTCCCCTTTGCCAGGACTGGTCTGGCAGTGGATGTGTGACTAAGTTCTGGCCAAGGAGACATAAGGCAGAGAGCGTATGAGCTCCTGAGGAAAATTTCCTTTCACTGGGAGGAGGGGAGGGGCAGAGATACATTCCTACCAAGATTCGTTACCTGACTCCTATCATGAAGAGTATCAGAAAAGCCCAAACCGAGGGACAGGAGACTGACCTACACCCAGGAACCATCTGGAACAAGCATGAAGATGAAAGCTGACATGCTGAAGGAGGCAGAATGTAAAGATGGAGATCATCTGGGTTCCTGACAACTGTGTTTTGCTACCAAATTAACCAATTCTAGATCTAATTTCAACCAGAATTTACATGGTTTATTATTTAAGCCAAATGAACTTTGTCATTTTGTAGCACGTAATTTAAAAAGTGATATTTATATGACACATGGATAAGCAGATAAGGATATCCATGCTTAGCTCCTCAGGGCTCCAGGCCACCGCAGGCTCTTACCTGGTTGCTCCAAGATCTAAGGAGATCAGTATCTCAGAGTACCTGCAACTCACCTACTGCACACTACTGAGCCTGGGCACACTGGCTGCTAAATGCTGGCTTAAGCCACTGTTACTTGGGTTTTTTGTTCTCTGTAGCTCAAAGGTTCCAACTATCTGGCTAATACCGGAGTCAACACACTGTTCCCTCAACCACCCAATCTAAAAACCCAGGAGTCATCCTGCACTCACTCCCATCATTCACCCCCTCATGTCTACCCTTCTCCCTCTTTGAAATCTCCATATTCTTTTTTTTTTTAATTTTCTTTTAATGTTTATTGATTTTTGAGAGAGGCAGAGACAGAGTGCAAGTGAGGGAGGGGCAGAGAGAAAGAGGAAGACACAGAATGCAAAACAGACTCCAGGCCTCGAGCTGTCAGCACAGAGCCCAACACGGGGCTCGAGTTCTTGAACTGCAAGATTATGACCTGAGCCAAAGTCAGACACTTAGCCCCTCTCTTCACCCCCACTGCTATGGCCTTCACCTGGATGACCAAAAGTAGCCTCACATTGCCCTACCTCCAACTCACTAGTCTTTAATTCATCCTAACATAGCCAGCAAAAGCTCTAAAATGCAGATCTTCTCAGACTACCACTCTCTTTAAATCACTACTGGAGGCCACCAATCCTAACCTTGCATCATGATCACCTGTGATGAGCCCCACAGATAATTTGTTAAAGTAAGAGTCAGAATACTAAAGTGTGCTGATGATTTGATATTGAATATAAATTAGAATATATCCAAATTTGTCCCAATGATATTTGTTTTACATTCTGACATGCTTTTTTGAATGTTAAGATTTACTGGAAGAACACCAAAAATTTCTGCAGCAACTATTTACCCTCTCGTGTTCCGTTCTACATAAGAGGGAGTAGAAATGAGATGAAGGGAATTATTTTAGCTTTGAAAAAAAAAAAGACACTTCCTGTGAGACAGGAGTGAAAGAGAAAAGGAAGGACAAGCATGCAAAAAGTTGAAGAAATTGAAACATCTAAACTTAGGAAGTCTTAATCTTTTCAGAATAATAGGTATCTTTGTATCAAGAGAAGGTATACCAGATATCTTGTTTGACTTCCAACTTTTATCCTTCTCTGAGCCTGGGAGGCTGAATTTATGAGCTAATTCAGTAAGACCCTTGCCTCCAAATCAGAATAGGACTCACCAGTGGGAGACTTTGACAGATCAGAGCATGGAGGAGATTGAGGTTGAGTATTTTTCCCACAGCTCCTTCCCTATCAGGTACCACAGGTTGGCTATGTACTTGCATCCAAGACCACAGATGCTGGCAGGTCAGGTTTCCATGTAACTACCTTCCTGATATTCTAGTAACCATCTCTTTCTGTGTCTTCAGGACTAAGGTGGTAATAGCCCCCAGCTGTCAGTATGGCCGGGATACTACACTATCGTCCATTGACTTCCTTAAATCCTGTACATATCTTTGTAAATAATCCTCTTTTTAAACTCTCCTCAAATTAGTCGGTTTCAGAATGCCATCTGTTTCCTGCTGGGGCCCCCAGTGATTTTGACTTACAGAATGGGATGTGGGTCAGGCTGGAGGAGAATGGAAAGTTTTGACAAGGTCAAAACGTTATAGGCGTTTACTAGGCAAGCCCGTGAATGCACCACATACATGCACTCATCCTTCCTCGTCTTTGGGAACAGAAAATATTTAAGAAACTGATGATTTATTGGACTGAAACCCCCAATCAATAAATTTAATTTTTATCATTAGTAATCAATAATTACATATTATTATAATTATATTATCGCATTATTGACCACCAAATGATCAGTATTTTTCAATCTGCGCCTACTAAAGTTAGCTATGATTATACACGTGTTTCCTTTTCTGTAACTAGATAATCCCTAAATTCCTTTATGACTTCAGAAATCTGTGATGATAGGATTACAATATTAAACCCAGAAATAAAAACAGGGAAGATGGAAAGGTAGAAACAGCAAGGACGAGCTGAGAGCACATTCCTCGTGTATGTACCTCTGCACTTTCTCCATGAATCTTTACTAACAGCAGCCCTGAATAGTAGCTCTTTTCTAAATGTTGATGGCACAAATCCTGTATCACAAAATCCAGCTTTCCGTTACAGGTTTTATGCCACCCTCTTACCTCTAAACATGGCCCAGACATCAGTTTACCCTTGCCTTTATGCCTTCCGAGCAGCCACAGGCTCATCAAGAGTAGGGACTACACAATGTATTCCTCTGTCAAGTGCTGCCCAACACTTTTTTTTCAGATATTCAATATATGTTTACTGAATTGAAATGGTAAACACAAGATGACTGATTTCCATGTATCAGGATGGGATACTGAACCTTCACCACATACTTTTATTTTCATTTGTGTTTGTTTTTGTGGGTGTGTTTTCGTAAGAGGAAAAAGGTAGATCGCATTCTGGGGCAGGAGTTAATTTTCTCCCAACTTGTAAATATTTATATTTACAGAACTGCTCTATTAGTTAGGATAAGCTAGGATGTGGTTACAAATAAACCCCAAATTTCAGTTGCTTAACATAACGTCCATTGCTCACGTAACACAAATTTATCCCCTCTCAGTTCTGGAAGTCAGAAGTCTGGTGAGCTTAACTGCTTCCTTGCTCTGGTCTCACAAGGCTACAACTGAGTTGTCAGCCAGCCTGTTCTCTCACCTGTAATTTCTAGGAGGCATTCCAAGCTTATCCAGGTCCCTGTTTCCTTTCTGTCAGCCAGTGTTACTTTTCAGCTTCTAGGGGCCTCCCTCCAGTTCTTATACATGATTATATGGCCCCATACCTCTCAGGATCAAAAAGGCAGTAGCACTAACCTTCCTCAGGCTTGGGAACTCTCTGACTTCTCATTCTTCTGTATCTCTCTGCCTCCAGCCAGAGAAAGTCCTTTGCTTTAAAGGGCCCATGTAATTAGTTTGGAGCCTCATCAACAATCCAGGGTAATTTCCCCAATTTTCAAGTCTGACACCTTGATTATACCTGGAAAGTCCTTTTTGCCGCACAATGTAACTTCATGGGCTTCATGGGCTCCAGGGATTAAGGTGTAGACATCTTGGCCGGGGAGGGGGGGGGGGTCATCTGCCTACAATACATGGTTTTATATTTGTGCCACACGCTATCCTGGATGCTTTACATACATCAACTGTTTTTTTTAAAAATCTGATGATTTGGTACTTTTAATATCATAACTTTTTTTTTACAGGTGGGGACCAAAGCAAAAGAGGTGAAATAAGCTGACAAAAGTCACCCAGCTTGTAAGTGGCACTGGGGAACTTCAAACCCAGGGACTCTGGCTCCCACACCTGTGCTCTTTACTGGAACGCCACACTCCCTCTATAGGACTGCTTCTGCAGCCCAGAGGGCTACATGGATGGGGCACATTGCCAAAATCATCCCAGGCCCAGCCAATATAAATTCTTTACTGTTTTTTTTTTTTTAATATATATCCAACAAAACTACACGTTCCCTTCAATTCTTCTTAATAGTTGTTTAACTAAACCCACATCAACCTTACATTTGCAAATAACCAACTTGCCCACAAAGGCATTTATTAAAAATCAAAGTCAATCATTTACTTAAATAAAAAAGCAATTTCCTAAGAAATGTATTTCAATGTGTTGATTATAAAAAGATTATGAAGTTTGGCTAAAAAAAAAAAAAAAACTCTCTCTCTCTCTCTCTCTCTCTCCACACACACACACACACACACACACACACACACACACACACACATCCCCAAAAGTAAAGGAATCTGTTTCTAGTGTCCAAGACTTACGTATAGTGAAAAGAGATTACCAGATGACTTTTCAGTGGAATACTAGCCTAGTTGTTTTAGCTATCTATTACTGAGTAACAATGACCCCAAACCTTAGCAGTCTTAAAATACATTATATATATTTATTTTTTCTACAGGTCATAAATCCAGGAGAGGCTCAGGTGGGTGGTTCTACCTTAGAGTCTCTCATGAGGTTGCAGTCGAGGGGACAGCCTGGTCTTCCGTTAATCAGAAGGCTTGGCCAGAGCCAAAGGAGCATTTTCCAAGACGGCTCATCCATGACACCGCTGTAGGAGGCCTCCGTTCCTCACCACCTAGGCCTCTCCATAGAGCTGCTCGAGCGTCCTTACAACACAGTAACTGGCGTCTCTGTATGATTAAAGTTGGTCTACAACTTGCTATTACTGTAAACTGACTGAAAAGTCGAAAGGGGATATAGAACCATTACCACCATTACTTTTTAGAAGCTACTACATTTTATCAAAAAGAATTTAAGGGACCTAGGGGAATTCACCACTAACAAGTGCCAAAAACACATCAAAATCCTATCCATCTGATATCAAAGACTATGTTCATTCCTCTACCTGACACTGCCTTACAGAATTATCATTCTGAGCTGTTTTCACTATTGCTAATAACATTTCCTAGCTGTTCTTTGTGAGTATTTCTGAATCTTGTGATTTTCATCTTATATAAGCTCAGTATATGAAAATCTGAGTTTTTCCTAAAAAATAAATGGTGTAATAAGATTTTGAGATTCTTCATTTTTCAAAAGGTCTAACAAGATTTGTTTCCTTTCAAAAGAAAGTTTTTTGGGCTCATTTAAAATGTGATGTAAATTATGAAAAATTAATATACAGAGAACATGAGCAAAGACAAAGTAGAAAGGATAGGGTGTTGAAGGAAGAACGAATAATCTAATTTGGCTGGAATATAATGTATATGTCAGGAAGTGTGAGAGATAAACCTGGAAAGGTAATTTATTATAATTATTTATATATAATAGCACATGTGACTGTGCCTTATTAGGCGACATCTGCTTAGTCTCAGAAGTATCTAATCAAAAGCACAGATACAAATCTAATTAAGAAGGTATTGATGTGTAACGTAGAATTTTCAAAAATGACTTTGCTATAACTTAGATATTGTAAAGGACACATATCTTAATTGTATAGCTAAAAAGATTTTATGCGTTTACTCCCACAGATCAAAATACAGAACAGTTTCAACACCCCAAAAGGCTTCTTCATACACTCTAGTTAAAACTCACCCCCCACCCCAAAAAAGAAACTCAATATTCTGACTTGTATCACCACAGATTAGATTTCTTGTTTGTTTTTTTTTAATAATTTTTTTAATGTTTATTTATTTTTGAGAAACAGAGCAGGAGAGGGGGAAGGGCAGAGAGAGAGGGAGACACAGAATCCGAAGCAGGTTCCAGGCTATGAGCTGTCAGTACAGAGCCCCACGCAGGGCTCGAACCCTGAAATCATAACCTGAGCCAAAGTCGGATGCTTAACCAACTGAGGCACCCTTGTATGCTCTTGAAGTTCATATAATTTGTGTGTCTTCTTTCACTTGCTTTTAGGTCTGTGAGATTTACCTATGTTGTTACAAGCAGCAGATTTTTTTTAAGTTTATTTATTTTGAAAGAGAGCATGAGTGGGGGAGGGGAAGAGAGAGAAAGAGACGAAGGGAGGGAGGGAGGGAGGGAAAACCCCAAGCAGGCTCCACACTGTCAGCACAGAGCCCAATGCGAGGCTTGAACTCACAAACCAAGAGACCATGACCTGAACCAAAACCAAGAGTCAGACGCTTAACCAACTGAGGCATCCAGGCGCCCCAGCAGCTGTAGTGTTTTACTGCTGTGAGGTTCTCCAATGTATGGATATGTATTTGCAATACTAATATAGTTAGCACCTCCATTCAGCTGTTGATGAGTATTTGGATTATTTCCAGTTTGGGACCATTATACATTTGCAACGAACATTCTTTCACATGTGTTTTGGTGTGCTGAATGTTTATTCTTGTTGCCTATGTACCCAGGAATAGAATTGCTGGATTATAAATGATATCTGATTAACTTTAAATGTCCTCTACCAGGGTGCCTGCGTGGCTCAGTCAGTTAAGCGCCCGATTCTTGATTTTGGCTCAGGTCATGATCTCACAGTTTGAGGATTCAAGCCCTACATTGTGCCCTGTGCCGACAGCACAGAGCCTGCTTGAAATTCTCTCTCCCTCTCTCCCCTGCTTGCCCCTCCCCCCACACACTCACACTCTCTCTCTCTCTCTCTCTCAAAATAAATAAAATAAATGAATGAATGAATAAAGTGTTCTACCAATTTATACTCCCACCAGCAATATAGAATTCCGAATGTTCCACAGCTTCCCCCAACGCTTGTTATCATTAGTCTTCTCATTTCAACCATTCTGGTAGAAGTATAGAAGTACCTTGTTCTGTTTTTTGTTGGGTTTTTTTTTTTTTTTTGTATTTATTTATCTGTTTTTGAGAGAGAGAAAAAGAGAGAGCACAAGCAGGGGAGGGGCAGAGAGGGAGAGAGAGAATCCCAGGCAGGCTCTGCACTGTCGGCATAGAGTCCAATGTGGGGCTCGAACCCACAAACCATGAGATCATGACCTGAGCCGAAATCAAGAGCCAGACACTTAACCAACAGAGCCAATCAGGCACCCCCTTCACTCTGGTTTTAATTTGCATTTTCCTGATAACGTAGAGCACTTTTTCATGTTTCATGTTGCCATTAAGCTATCCTCTTTTGTGAAGTGTCTGTTCATGGAATGTAGACTTTACCCAAGGTTTTTTTTTTTTTTTTTAAAGAAATAAAGGTGTAGGCTTTTATACAACATAAAGTAAGCCCTCCCCCAAAATCCCCCTTAAGTATCTTTCTTTCTTCTCATGGCAGTTGCTTCATTTCCCCCCCCCCCCTCTGTCTTCACATAAAGATAAAACTACATATAAGATCTTCTCAACTTCTCCCCCACACTTCCACTAAACAAATTCTTCATTCCTGCTCTACAAGATAATAGCTAATCAAACTTTACTCAGCAAAATGCACACTTGGTTCACATCTATTGAGTCATAAACTTGCTGCCTAGGGAACCTCAATACAGCTCATTCATAACAGGTCTTAAATCTACTAGACTATAAACCCCTCCCTTCAAACTCAAGTTATCTTGTTTATAAGTTAATTTACTTAATTTCTATCTGTTCTCAGTAGAAGTTGTTTTGTTCAATGTTGAAACGCAAGTGCCTAGAAAGAGTGCCTAATACATAGTAGGTGCTCAAACACTTATTAAATAAAATGAAGATTAAAAAGAAAGTACTGATTACATGAAAAGATGCTCAACATCACTAATCATCAGGAAAATGCAAACCAAAGCCACAATGAGAGGTCACCTCACACCTCTTAGAATGGTTGCCATCACAAATAAGCCATACAGAGAAAGACAGATACCATATGGTTTCACGCTTATGTGGTTCCTGAGAAACTTAACAGAAACCCATGGGGGAGGGGAAGGAAAAAGAAAAAAAAAAGAGGTTAGAGTGGAAGAGAGCCAAAGCATAAGAGACTCTTAAAAACTGAGAACAAACTGAGGGCTGATGGGGGGTGGGAGGGAGGGGAGGGGGGGTGATGGGTATTGAGGAGGGCACCTTTTGGGATGAGCACTGGGTGTTGTATGGAAACCAATTTGACAATAAACTTCATATATTGAAAAATAAAAAAAAATAAAAAAAGAATGGTTGTCATCACAAAGACTAGAAATAACAAGTGCTGGTGAAGATGTGGAGAAAAGGGAACACTTGTGCACTGCTAGTGGATATGCAAACTGGTGCAGCCACTGTGGAAAACAGTATGGAGTTTCCAATAAAGTTAAAAATAGAACTACTGTATGATCTAGCTATTCTACTTCTGGGTAATTACCTAAAGAAAATAAAAAGAGGAATTTGAAAAAATATGCACACCCCTATGCTCATTGCAGCATTATTTACAATAGCTAAGATATGGAAACAACCTAAGAGTACATCAATGGTTAAAGAAGATGTGGTATGTATATTACATGTGGTTTTTTTCCGCCATAAAAAGAAGGAAATCCTGCTGTTTGTAACAACATGGATGGACCTTGAGGGTATTATGCTAAGTGAAATAAGCTAGGCAGAGAAAAACAAATGCAATATGATTTCACTTATATGTGAGAACCTAGACAAAGAAAAAGCTAAGCTCATAGATACAGAGAACAAATTGATACTTTTCAGAGATGGGGGAGGGGGAGCAAAATAGGTGAAGGGAATCAAAAGGTATAAACTTCTCATTATAAAAGAAGTCCTATGGGAATGCAAGCTGGTGCAGCCACTCTGGAAAACAGTATGGAGGTTCCTCAAAAAACTAAAAATAGAACTACCCTACGACCCAGCAATTGCACTACTAGGCATTTATCCATGGGATACAGGGGTGCTGTTTCAAAGGGACACATGCACCCCCATGTTTATAGCAGCACTACAACAATAGCCAAAGTATGGAAAGAGCCCAGTGTCCCTCGATGAACGAATGGATAAAGAAGATGTGGTATATATATACAATGGAGTATTACTCAGCAATCAAAAAGAATGAAATCTTGCCATTTGCAACCATGTGGATGGAACTGGAGGGTATTATGCTAAGTGAAATTAGAGAAAGAAATCATATGACTTCACTCATAGGAGGACTTTAAGAGACATAACAGATGAACATAAGGAAAGGGAAACAAAAATAATATAAAAACAGGGAGGGGGACAAAATAGAAGAGACTCATAAGTATGGAGAACAAACTGAGGGTTACTGGAGGGGTTGTGTGGGAGTGCTAAATGGGTAAGGGCACTAAGGAAACTACTCCTGAAATCGTTGCACTATATGCTAACTAATTTGGGTATAAATTTTAAAAAATAAAACTTAAGGGGCGCCTGGGTGGCGCAGTCGGTTAAGCATCCGACTTCAGCCAGGTCACGATCTCGCGGTCCGTGAGTTCGAGCCCCGCGTCAGGCTCTGGGCTGATGGCTCAGAGCCTGGAGCCTGTTTCCGATTCTGTGTCTCCCTCTCTCTCTGCCCCTCCCCCGTTCATGCTCTGTCTCTCTCTGTCCCAAAAATAAATAAACGTTGAAAAAAACATTTTTTTTAAATAAATAAAACTTAAAAAAATGGTAAAATAAAAAGCTGTATTATATGCAGATCTAAAATAATGACATTCATTCACAGAAAAAAAGATATATTAAAATCCAATACTTAACAAGAAGAGGAAGGCAAAGAATGGGTAGTTATTGGAATTTGTGTTTTTCTTTTTTAACTCACCAACCAAAACTAAGGTACTACCCATAGTTTAATGCTATATGGACAGCAAGTTGGACTCACATTAGAATAAGCCAGGTTTTGAACTGATAATCCAAGGACAAAGCAAATCTGGTTGTCTGTCTGAACTCAGCTTTGGTTTCTAGGTCAGTTAATTTGCTGTTGACTTTGAAAACTTAAGGTTTGAGGATGGCAACAACTTAAAGAAATGAGTCATTTGTTTCTGTCAAGTGGATAAGGACAAAATCAGCAGGAAAGGAAATAAAATAAAATAAAATAAAAAGTCCTAGGTTGTAATGTACAGACTACAGTGACTATAGGCAATAACCCAAATTACATGTTTAGAAGTTGTTAAGAGTCAGTCTTAAAAGTTCTCAGCACAAGAATTATAACTATGATGATAGATGTTAACTAAACTTACTGTGCTCATTTTGCAAATAGACAAATATTGAATCATTATGTTGTACAGCTAAAATAATGCAATGCCAGTTATACCTCCATAAAAAAATAATAATCCTAAAGCTTCAAGCTTTAAAAAAAAAAAAAAAAGTACTGAGAATATTATTGTATCCTTCCTGACATCCAAACCCCTCCAATAGGAAACCATCCCAATTTCAGACTAAGTATCCACATGTACCCAGTGAAGCCCATATCCTACCAAAGAACCCAATCCCACCCCTCTCAAGGGGAAGTAGGTAGCACTCTGAACCACATAATCCTATCGTCTGGCCATAGCTAATGGTCCTATGTCAGCTAATGGGATTGAGGGCAACACCAACTGAAGAAATCTAAAGAAGAGTGTTTCTTGCTGTTCGAGAGACTTTCTGGAAACCATCTGCTCTCTCCCCACCCTACAATTACCTCCACCTCAGATGTGGACAAGGAGGCAGGTAACTCAGGGGTGGTCAGCAGCTGTCTTGTAATGCCAGCCTTGGAATGAAGAGGACCCAACAGAACATGGAAAAGGCGAAATAGGGGTTCTTTGTGACATCACTGAGACACTGAACCAGACCACCCCTGAAGCCTGTCCTACTACTTACATAAATCAATAAATCTTCCTTATCATTTAAACCCAGTTTGAGTTGGGTTTGTGTTTCTAAGAACAGAACACACCTGGTACAAGACGGCAAGGGCATTCACTGTAGGTAAGAGGAACAGCAAGAGCAAAGGTAGAGAGGAATAGAATAGCATGATCCTTAGGGAAGCTACAGGGACTACAGTATCTGAGCATAGAATAGGAGGAAAGCGAGGCACCTGGGTGGCTCAGTCAGTTGAGCATCTGACTTTGGCTCAGGTCAAGATCTCACGGGTTTTGAGTTCAAGCCTTGTGTCAGGCTCTGTGCTGACAGCTCAGAGCCTGGAGCCTGCTTTGGATTCTGTGTCTCCCTCTCTCTCTGCCCCTCCCCTGCTCACACTCTGTCTCTCAAAAAATGAGTAAAGGTTAAAAAAAAGAATTAAAACAAATAAGAATAGGAGGAAAGCAAAGTCAGAATGAGACTGAAGATGTAGACAGGGGTCAGAATAGGAGACTAAATGTGTGCCATGCAACAACACATTGATTTCATCCTATAGGTAGTGGCTTAAAATGAAATTTGAGGGGGCAGAGCTGTTGCCTCAGTTTTTATTTGAGATAGGTCACTAGCAGGTTTGAAATGGGTTAGCTAGGAAAGAAATTGTGAAAATCTGAGCAAAGACAGAGTAGGGAATGTAGATTAGGGAACAGGTGTAAGATTTCAGAAGGTTGAGCCTACCTAGTTAGTTCACCTAATGGATGGGAGTAGTAAAGGAGAGGGAGGGGTCAGGGCTCATGCCCACCTTTCTAGCTTGAATTTCCTGGCTGTCAGTGGCATCATTTACTGAAATGGAGAATACAAACTAATGAGTTCCTCTTTTTGACAGATTGAGTTCCAGGAGTTGTGAAATATGCAAGTGTTGTTTGACAGGTATGATAATGTCCTGCATGGTGCTTTTAGCTTTTTAAAATCAATTGCCGATATTTCATGATTGTATTTTTAGCATAAAAATCCAAATTTACCCCTTCTCTTGAAAAATCAGAAGATCTGACCACATTGCGCCAGTATCCCCACATGGTAAATTAAAACGTGCATGTGCCCTTCCATTAGCCATTATAACATGCGTTCCATTGTCTTACACCCAGCCTGCTCCAACTGCCCCCCCCCCTTAGGGATCTGAACTTTCAGCCCCTCATACTGATGCAACTGATGTCAATGGAGTATCACCCCCTGAAGCAAGTTTCCATCACTCCCATGTACCCCACATTCTAGATACATTTCTAGTGGCATCTAAAGCCCCTCCAGCAGCAAACTCTCTGGTTACCACGTACTACCACCTTCTGTAGTTGGGTTTGCTACTACAGCTCTCTCCCAAAAAGAGTGCCTGGTTTCCAGGTCCCATGGCCAATACCTCTAAGCTCCCATCCAGCATTTCCCCCTTCCTTTGTCTTTTTTTAGTTCTTGTTCCTTCTGATAGCAGAAGGGTAGACCTCTGTCAAGAACAGAAGAGGAAGGGTCAGAAATGTATCAGCCTACTCAGGACAAACTGAGCTAGATTGGAGGAAACTAAAGGTTTCCAGGAAACCAGCCTCCCAGGAAACCCAGGGCTGCCACTTTAACGGAAACGGTAATGGAAATGATAACACACTCACATGGTACTCTCCTGTGGCTAAAATTACCCATCCACCAAAATCTCCTCCCTTCCTCCAAAATGACTTCTTCTCCTATCAACTATATTATCAAGTACTTTTTCTTTTTCCTTTCTTCTTCCTTTTTTGCACACTTAGCATCTTCCTTTTTTGCACATCTCAGTCATCTACATGACTAAACTTTACTCAAGACAATAGTTGAACTTGAAAAATCAAGTAATTTGCATCAAGAAGTGAGTAAAATTGAACTCTGCTATGGATTCTGGCATTAGGAAAAGAAGCTTCCTAGCTTAGATGATTAGTAGGAAGTTGTGTACCTTGGGGGCCCTACAGTCAAGTGCATTTCTGAGCAGCCACAGAGCAACTTATTAAGAGGCTATTCTCAGTTATGCCCAGCTTATACCAAAAGGAAAACAGCGGAGTTCTTGGTTGCTGGTATTGTACTGATCCTGGGTTATCTGCACAGGGAAGCCTGGCATGTGCTCTTTGTCTGAAAACAGGCTGTTCTCATTAGCACTAATGTCCACATCCGGCCTGCTCATGAACACTAAGGAAATAGAAGCTCTTCACTTCCTTTGCCTTGAATTATTGCTTCCTCTCTTGGCTTTCAGAATTGTAAATTGAATCTTATACAGGAAAATGTGTCTTCCGCACACTGGCCACATGCATGCTTATATTTAGAACAGCTCCCTCTACTCTTCTCTATACCAATAATATCTTATAGGTCTTATGTATCTTGAAAAGGGCACCGCTAAGAGAATTATTGGTGGTGGTGATGGTACAGGTGCTGTGATTTAGCTTCATTAACAATATTAAAGAAAAAAATGTTGAAATAGTAATAAAATCTAAATCCCACTACCCTTACATGTTTTCATTTTTTATATAGCTTCATTCAGTGTGTCCATATTAAATATATTGTTTTATAATGTTTATATTCTTATCATTTAACATACATTTAACTACCTAGTGGTGTGTAGTTTGTTGGGTGATTGTGAGTGAGATGACCATCATTCTCACCAAGTCTTAACTAGATGTTTTCATTTATCAATACAACATTAATCTTTACTGGCTACCAGAGCTCATGGATATTTCCTTAAAAAGCAGTTGAGAAAAAAAATCTCAGATGTGTTTTTCCACACCACCAAGCAATTAACTCAATCTTCCAAGGGCACGGACCGGGTGTCCTACGAATTTGACTCCGTTCTGACACTATCTACTTGGAGATAGCCACTTCCAATGCAAATCGAAAGTCCAAGTTATCTCCTGTGCTTCTAACCCACTGGCTAAAAATCAGAAGTTCCACAACCCACTCTTTGAGTTTAGTTAATCTGCCAGAGCAGCTCGTAGAACTCAGGAAAACCATTTACTTACCAGATTACTGGTTTATGACAAAGGATACAAATGAACAGCAAGAGGTCCCGAACACAGGAACTTCTGTCCAGGTGAAGTTTGGGACCCGCCACGGAGACATGTTCCGGTTTACCAACCCGGAAGCTCTCTGAACTCTGTCCTTTGGGTTTTTAATAGAAGCTTCACTACACAGGTGTGATTGGTTAAATTATTAGCCATTGGCAATTGATTTCACCTGGAGACCCTCTCCCTCTTCAGAGGTCAAGGGGTGGGACTAAACTAGTCACAAGGTTGGTTCCCCTGGCAACCAGCCCCACCCTTAGATGCTTTCCAATAGTCATCTTATTAACGGTAATCTCAGGTGTGGTTGAAAGGTGCTTGTTAGGAATATCATGAAACTTTATCACTTAGGAAATTTCAAGGATTTTAGGAGTTCTGCACCAGAAATAGGGACAAAGACCAAATATATATTCCTTATTATAAATCACAGTATCACCCTGAGGTGATATTCTAAGGAGGGCATGTAACCTTTAACTCTGCTTCCCGACCCTGTGGAAAGCTCAAACTTGAGAAATAACATCCACGTAGAATTGCATGAATGCCCTAATTCAAGCATTACTTTATATTCTACTCCTCGATCAAGCAAGTCCCTGAAGTTGCTACCGAACTTGGACTTTATTTGACTGAAATCTACTGTGTTAAACTCTTAGTGTACCTCAAGAGACATTGACAGAATTAGTCATATCAAATCTTATAACAAGAAGTATAAATGGAAACATGAAAATTTGTGTTATCTCAAACGTCATCAAAGAAATGTAAACAGTGAGATGACTATTTTTGCTTAACAGATTAGCAAAGTGTTTTTTAATGGATAATGAGTACATTACTAGATAACCACAAGTGTTTTGATCTAGGTGGAGCATCAAGCATGAGACAGGAACACAGGACATAGTCAGAGATCCAATATATTCATTCCTGCATTCAACAAATATCTTTTAAGGTCATACTGACGTGGGAAGCAAAGGTAAAAGAAAAAATTAAATTTCTTTACAGTGTACAGCCCACTGACAAGTCCTTGAGACAGGCAGAGTGACCTTCCTCTAGGAACGCAACTGCCTTGGTGTTAATATTAATACTTAGCCAAAGGCAAAAGACAAAAGCTTAACATTATCCTGACCCCAATGGGATCCTGTAAGCCTCCTTTAAGATACAAAAATTCCTATGGAAACTTCCTTTATCTCTACCCCCCAAGATAAGTGTTAGCAATCATCCTCCAAGCATATAGCCCATTGATATACATCTCATGGTCTCATAACTAAAGGTTTATTAGACAGTAATAAATGACCTTTTCCTAACAATAGCTAGCCCCCTCAAGGTCCTGGAAACCTTGCTTCCAAAATTCCTTAGAGACTTATGCCATCCCTAACACACTCCCAACTTGAAAGTACATAATCAGTCACCTATCACAACCCCAGTTCAGCTCTTTCTGCCCATGAGTCCTCTCCCTGTACTTTAATAAAACCACGTTTTTGCATTGAACACATCTCAAGCATTCTTCCTTGGCCATCGGCTCCAAATCCCAATGTTTCCACATCAATACTATGTACCGCACACTGGGATAGATGATGAGGACATAATGGTGAGTGAAACAAATATGATACCTGCTCTTGTAAAGATTACAGTCCTAGGGGGATAGATAAATATCAATCAAATAATCACACTAATTAGTGTATCATTGCAATCTGGGTTGCCTGTACTGCCACAGACACCACTAGGTGTCCCCATATCCATTCACTCCATCTACAGTAACAGATCTCCAGGTTTAAAGCTGGGCATATGGCAGCCAAAATAAAGACTACTTTTCCCAGCCTCCCTTGCAGCAAGATGTGGCCATGTGACCAAGTTCTGATCAGTGAGAGGTGAGTGAAAGTAATAAGCGCAATTCCTGAGTCATGCCCTTACAAGGAGTGATTATGCCCTCCCTTTCCTCTTTCTCCCTTCCACTGACTGAAATGGAAATATGGTGGTGAATTGTCTTAAAGCATGCTGGTGAGGGTAACTTAGAGATGTCCATACAACAAGGTAGAAAAATTCTGGGCTCCCAACATCAGAGAGACACTAGAGAAATCCTGGGCTGCTAAGGCCAACATTATATTGTCAGCAAAAGATAGAGACTTCTGTCTTATTAAATTCACCATGGCCTCTGTTTCAGCAGCAAATCTATGTTCCAAAAAGAAGAGCATTTGAGAAGACACAGTAAAGTGTCCTGACCTACGCTGGTCAGAAGGTGGGCTTCTCTGAGGAGTTGAGGCTAGAACTTGGATTGATGAATGGATGGATTTAATCAGGCTGGAGGTTGAGGTGGGGTAGAGAGGAGTCCTGGAGGAAAGCTTATTTAAAGAATGGAATAGAAGGCCACTGTGGCTAATTAGCCTACAGAAAGGATGTGTAAGAATAATGGTGGGAGCTGATGCTGGCTTAGAAGGACTTAAAGCTGTATCAGAGATATGGATGGATCTTGATTCTAAAAACAGCAGGAAACCATTAAAATGTTTCAAGCAGGGAAATGAGATGACCAAGTCTGTGTTTCAAATACATTGCTCTAGTTGGGATGAGGGTTAAGGTTGGTGTTTGGATAATATTGCAGAAGTCGAGAGAAATTATGGTGCCTTTGTCAACTGTTGTAGGCCTTGTGAGCACAGGGTACACATACAAGATTGTTCATGGCAACATTGTTTGTAATAGACAACATGAACAACGTCATGTGGCCACAAAATGAATGAGTCTTACAAACACTGTGCTGACCAGAAAGAAGACAGAGGTAAAAGATTACATACAGTATAATTCTATCCACACAGTTCAGAAACAATCCAAAGTAGCCTGCATTAAATCTAAGGTGCCATTGATTGTAAAACACTCCATTATTTTATATTTCTGTATTTATATTTTATACCTTTTCTCATAAAGAAAAAAATGCTGCAAATTAAACCATGACAAGCCATCATCATAAGCATATCTCAACTTCAGATATGCTAAAATATGAAAAAGAGATCTTCTTGGATTTGGTAAAATGAGGCATAACGTTTAAAGATTCATACATGGGAGGTAAAATTTAAATGCAAAAATACTGGGCACCTGGATGGCTCAATCTGTTGAGCGTCTGACTTTGGCTCAAATTGTGATCTCACGATTCGTAAGCTGAGCCCCACATCAGGCTCACTGCTGTCAGCACAGACTTCAGTTCCTCTGTCTCCCTGTCTCTCTCTGCCCCTCCCCCCTCATGCTCTCTATCTCAAAATTAATGAACATTTTTTAAAAAAAAGCAAAATGCTATCATAGAAATCAGGAGAGTGGATACTTCTTGGAGAGAGGGCTGATTGTGTAATCAAGAAAGGGCACTCAGGAGTGGGGAGGCTTCTAGAAAACAGCAATGTTTAATTTCTTAACCTAGAGAGTAGTTTATGATTATTCCCTAAACTGTGCATGCAGGTTTTGTACACTGTTCTGCATGGCACACTGAGGCTTGTGGGGGACAGGCTGATTCAGATGTGCTAAGGGTGGAGGGTATGAGGGCAAAAGACCCAAGGCTGCAGAATGAAGGACGGGTAAGAGAGAAAAGCCTAAAAGCACGAAGACCAGTCAAGAGGTATATAAGCCTGACCTAAGTAGCAGCATGAGTGTAGAAGAGAGGGAACAAATGGGAAAGATGCTTGGAATTTAACATAACATGGTCTTGGATCTGGCTAGATATACTGGTTGATTGGATCAAGACACAATCTTGATTATCATTACCATAGGCATCATTTGGGGAGAGATTACTACATTTCAGACAGTGGCATTTTGCACACATTGTGTGATTAATCTTCACAACCATCTGAAGTGTTAAATATTGTTATCGCCAGTATTTTAGAGATGAAAACTGAGGCTTAAGTCACATGGCTAGTGGCTGGCCAGGACGCAAAGCCAGGTATGACCAGCACTCCCACCATGTCTTTACTAGTCCCCTATCATTGCACTCCAGGAGCAGAGTAGCTTTTCTCTTCCGTTGTGTGCACAAAGATTGTGTTACTGGGCTCCATGCTTTATCCAACTTTCTTTCTTTCTTTTTTTTTTTTTTTTAATCCAACTTTCAAAGTGAAACAAGCAGCCTGATCTTCCATTCACCCCTTCTCTACCCCTGCTGTGTGCACTGGCCTGTGAGACTGTGACAACTAGCCCCTTTGCATTCTGGTTTCATTGGGTTCAGTCAGTGGAGAGTCCAGCAGGAGATCTGAGGGAGGTAGCAAAGTGCAATCCCTCCCTGTGGGGCTACTTCCAGCTGGTCTAGATGCACAAAGGAGGTAGGGGGTCTCAGCATCTCTCAGACAGACACTCTCTGTCTCCAATTCCTGTATGCGCTCCCCTACTCTTGAGGAATAATGGAGTCCACTGATCCTAACCCTGGGTACTGCGCTATTCTGCATGGTTTCCTTACATTTGGTCCTCCGTAAATAGTTCTTTATTAAACCCTCCTTAAATTATCCTAATTTAAATGTGTCATCTGTTTTCTGCTGAGACCCTGCCTGACACAGTAATAATACCTTACAGCTAAAGGCTTTTACAGTTTCTCATTAGTTTATTTGTACTTGAATAGCACTTTTTCAAGTTTTCTTTAAACAATAGACCTAGAAATGCAAGTGTCCATGTTTGATTCTTAGTCACTCTGCTGTAAGTAGAACTGAACAATCTCTTTGTTCTTGTCACAGACATTTTTATAGACTTTGTGTTTGTATTTCCATCCGTTGTTCCCTGAGAGGTCTTTATACTTATATAATGTTAAGGCACGAAACCGCTCCTTCCCATTTGATCTTTGCTTTTTATCCTCTAACCTCTGGACTCAGAAGCCTGTGCAGGCCTCAAAGACAGGAAAGTGTTTTTCTATTTGTATCCTCTGCATCAGTCACAGAGCCTGGCAGGGAATGGAACTCAGGACGGACATATTGAATGAATGGAGAATGATGTCTATTCTGGATCTCAGTTAGGGAACAAAACTCATCAGACAGTAGTCTCCTGATAGAGCGTTCATGAGAAAAGTAAATAACGCTTGGGAATCAAGTCAGAGAGGGGTGTCTACAGGGAGGGCAAAGCATATGGAGAACTTACGGGCAATCAGAAGTTGAGGTAGCTCACAGACTTACATTGCCTTATACTTCCCTTCTTCAAAAATTCAAAGATGACCAATTCTTTTTCTCTGAGCAAATTATCCCATTTAAA